CAGCCTCCTGTCACAGACGCTCCACTCTGTCGTTGCGGCACGAAAGTTGCCGCAGGCAAAACATCACTCTTGGCTGGGTTCCAATAAAACTTCACTTTGTGGACACTGAAATTTGAATTTCCTATCATTTTCACATCATAAAACATTCTTCTTTTGATTTTTTTCCAACCACTTAGAAATGTAAAAACCATTCTTAGTTTGTGGGCCACATAAAAATAAGCAGTAGGCTGGACTTGCCTCTTGGGCTACGGTTTGCTGACCCCTGTGGCAGACACAAAGCAAATGTCTCTCCCTCCCCTTGTTCTTTCTACACGTGCACACACACACACAGATGTGCACACACAAATGCACACACACACACCTGTGAGGACGCAGAGGCCCGGGTAGATTCTCCCACCCCCTGCTACCACCATGATACCAGCCTTCCTACATTTCACCCAATCCAGTCCAATTTGCACTTTTTGAGAAAAAAAGAAAACTAAACCAACTGTAATTTTTTAAATTAGTTTTTGATTTAGATGATGATTTGCTATTATTTGAACTGCCTCAGACTTTATTAGCCATGAAATTGAAGCATAATATTACCAATTGTTCCCAAATTGTTACCCAATGAAATATCATACATTCTTCAGGTTTCTGAAAAGAAATGTGATCAATACATTCCGTGCTCCATTTCCTCCCAGACTTTGTTGGAATCTTCTGCTTTGTTAACCTGGCATGATTATGAGGCTGGGCGTGCCTGTCTCGGTCTGAGCCAGTGGTTGGGTGATAATTCTCCCCAGCCCCCACCAGCTGCGGGCTCAGAAGCCCATTGCATCCTTAGAAATAACAGGATGCGCCCAACGAAAGAGAGAGGACAGCTGTGGGGTTGCTTGTCCCTCAGGACCCAGCCTGCCCCCAACTCTGCTCTTGTCCAGGTCAGGCCGAGAGGTTGGAGCTCAGGCTTCATGAATTTTGGAGTGTGAGCCCCACCCCCACCCCCACCCCGGGGGCCACAGCCCTTGGCGTGATTCACAGTGTGTGCTGGGTGAGAATTACATATTTACCATGTGCAGAGGAACGCAGCTCCCTCCCGGCGCTGCAGGGACACGGGTGCAGGCCCCGCCTGACAGCTGGGCCGTGTCAGATGAGGACAGGCCAGGGTGTACACGTGTGGGTGCGTGCGTGTGTGTTTGCGCACGTGCACATGCATGTGCCTCTCCAGAAAGATAAGTGCCAGAAGGGATCCTAGGGGTCCACCGTCCAATCCCTTTGTTCTGCTAATGCGTCAATGAGGACACGACCTACTTAAATTCAATGCAGCCGAATTCCTTTTCTCCAGCTGGTAAGTGGATTCGGCCGCAAGGGAAGGAAAAAGTGGAACACTACTAGGCAAGCTGTCCCCGCGACTTTGCGGACCCATCTTCATTCCTTGATTTCTGTTTCCTAAACTTTGCCAGGTCCTCCTGGCAGGGTCGCTTCTGCCTGCCCTCCGCATCCATTTCCCGCCCTCCTCCATCCACACCGACGGCATCAACGGGCAAGCTCTGCTCTGGCTCTGCTCTGGCTCTGCTCTGGCTCTGCTCTGGCTCTGCTCTGGCTCTGGCTCTAGGTGAAGGGGAGGCATGAAGGAGAGTGAGGAGATGGACCGGGAGGCCCACTCCGACTCCTCCCTGCCAACTTTCCATGGCTTGGCTGTGTCCCACCAACTGAGGCCCAGCAGCTGTGGGGGGCCATCTCCATACAGATCTAGCCCCTTCTCCCTGCCGGTCAGCCTGGCAGATGGTAACAGCCCGCCAGGCCCACGAGGCCTGCCCTATGCCTGCTGGGCCACCCATGCGCCCTCTCCTGCCTATTACACTTGTCCCCTGCGCCCTTCCTTACTGTCTTGCCTCCCACCCATTTCTCTGGCCTCTGAAGCCTTCTTGTCTTCAGCTGCTCCACAGAGAGGACTACCCTCCCTCTTTATGCAGCAGGAGTGTTTCCCCAAGGACGTCATGAGCACTTAAGTGACAGATTGCACATACTGACACAGTGTCTCCTGCGTGCTCTGCAGCATCCATTCACCTTTAGGGCATCAAACTCCTAGAAACTGGCAGCCCCACTTTAACACCCCTAATGGTTTCCAAGGTCGGGGCCACACAGAGCAAAGGAAGCGATTTTATCCAATCACCTTCCATGTGTTGACATTGCCACGCAAGCCCTCCTCTAGGGAAACTATGGTAGATCCCTAACTGCATGGGGCAGGCTCGGAATCTGACAGAGCAGCCAGGCCCACCACCCCTAGGTGTGGTCTCCCTGGCTAGGATGTTATAACACGGAGCTTTGAGGGATGTTTGCTTAAATAACAGCCTCATCAGCCATTCATCAGCAGAGAGCCGTATCTGTCTTTCTGAGAAACACCCTTGGCCGTGACAGCTGGATGGACTGACTCCTCTCCCCCCATCCCCCTGAGCCCGTGCCAGCTCTCTGCATTGCAGACCTGAGAGGCGAAGTTTCCACATCAGCAAAACACCCTTTGCAGTGGCAAGCTGCCTTGGGGTTTGCAGGATACTAAATAGAAACTGGCAAATGCACAAACACCACCGAGAGAAAACACAGAATGCGTGTTTTCTGTGGCCCTGGACACATGAAGGTCATTTTCAAGCAGCCGCCCTAGGTCAACACAATCCATAGAACCACCTGTGGCCTTGAAACCTGTCATCTGCACTGTCCAATACGTTAGCCGATAGCCGGTGTGGCTATTGAACACTTGGCGTGTGGCTAGTGCAAGTGAGGAAATGCAACTTACATGTTATTTAACTTCAAATAGTTTAAATATGAAAAGCCACGTGCAGCTATGCTATTGGACACTACAGGTCTTGGTAGCTGTGTTCAAATAACTGATCTACCTCTTGTGAAATCAAAACTGGCCCGAGTCCCCTTGAGACACTTGCTCCTGGAATAAGCTGCTATAAAACCTGCTCGTCAGCGACCACTTCCCACCTGATAAACATGACAATACTTTGAGAGTGATTCAGTAAGTACATACTAACCTGGAGGAATCCCTATGAAAATCATTCGGTGTTGTGCTCCCGAGTTCAGAGCTTCAAGTTCAATTTTATTCTACATGCAACCTGACTCCTAAAATAACCACAGAAATACAACTCTTGGAGCCAGCAGATGGCAAATATTTGTAATAATTCAATATACTGTCTTTCTCAATATTGACCTGTTTGATACCAATATTTCCTGAATGCCTACAGAATGTCAGATTCTGTAAAGGTTACAAAAGGCATAAGTGACGGGATGTTTGCCTTGTCCTGGGATCTGCGTTCTGTGGTGGTTGAAGGAAAGTCAATTATCAACTGAAAATGTGAAGGTCACGCATTGAACAGCTCTGCCCAAAGCGTCTCCTGAGCCTTCCTGTCTTTCTCTTTGACTTGGACCCATTCAGGGACGGTGGTGGGAGACAGAATCACATGGTCAGGGAGCAAAGAATCATTATATAATAAACAAGAGTCTCGTTTTTAAGCAGGTGCATTGGCGATTTTTCCCATAAAATGAGCTCATAGGAACATGAAATAGTAATGAGTTTTTGAAATTTTGCATTTCAGTTCTACTCCAAAGAAAATAGACAGCCAATCCCCTCACTTCTGGGGTATCATCTTAGAAAAGATGACATTTTTTTTCAGGATCCTTCAAACCATGGTGATATTCGAACTATTTGACAGCCAGTAAGGCGTGAACGGCATGTGATCAGAAAAGATAGGGTATGGGCACTGGCCAATCAGAATAGACATTATATGGGCACCGACCAATCAGAATGGGCAGGACCTGCCGCAGCCCCATGTGCCAGCAAACACCCCTTGAGATAGCTGCTGATTCTTTGGAGGGGTGCATGGTAGGGGCCCAGTGTGATTTAACATCATAAAAGTATTTTATCAATCATAGTTGTTTGTAGACTTGTCTACCATTTCATGGACCAGCAAGCAGGAGTGTGGAGTAATGAGAAACATTACCATGATGAATTTGCATCTTTGACTTAGTAACGTGAAGAAATTCACTAAAATCTTAACCCATTTTAAAAGTCAAGTTCTACTTTGGCAACAGCATGGCAGGGCACGAGGGGTGCTCAGAGCAGTTGTTAAGTACCAGCCATCATGGAAATCTGTACCAACTAGTGCAGAGCCCAGCCAAGTAACAGTCCCACCTCTCGGTGAAACATAAAGACACTGAGAAGATCTACATGAAAACAAAATATATTTGGAGAAAGCAGCAATTTTAGTCTTGGTAACAACATTTATATTAACTTTAAATTAAACAATATTCAAAGACTAACATGAGGATGTGGTTTTGTTTTTACAGACATCTCCTGTTTTGTTTCTTTAAAAATGCTTGATTCTTGGGGATGGGATTGAGAACTACAAATTGCCAGTTACAGAAATAGTCACAAGGATGTAAAATACAGCATATTATAATATTGTAATAACCAAGTGTGGTGCCAGATCACAGGGTGATCATTTCATAAGGTAGGTATGTCATTGTCTGACCACTATGTTGTACACCTGAAACTAATACAATGTTGTATGTCAACTGTAATTGAAAAATAAAATAAAAGAGACTTAAGAGATATGGTAATTAAATACAATGTATGAACCCAGACTGGATCCTAAACCAAAAATATATATATTTTTAAAAAATAACAAGACAAGAGAAAATTATAGTACTGAATCACTATTTGATAATGTTAAATAATTTTTTTCAATTAAAAAAAAAGAAAGTGCTTGATTCCTAAACACTGTGATTCTGTAAACTACCACCTAAGTCAGGGGTGGGGAATCTTTTTTCTGCCAAGGGCCATTTGAATATTTATAACATCATTTGCAGGCCATACGAAATTATCAACTTAAAAATTAGCTACAGAAAAAACTCCTAGGTTTATTGAATTTCAAGTCCCGCTTGTGGTTGCCTTGGCAGAGTCAGACCAAATGATTTCTCTGGCTGTCTATGGCCCGCGGGCCGGACGTTCCCCACCCCTGAGCTAAGTAGTAAAGAGTTCAGAGAGGTAATACAAGCTCTTTGGTGTTTTCCCCTTTGCCTATTAAAGAACACATTTACCCATTTCCAGTTTCATCACGGCATTTGTGGTGAGTGAGCTACACCTCTTACAAAGCATAACCCACGTCTGAGTCATCTGAGGATGTGAGAGGAGCTGATAAGGGGGCCGATAAAAATGAATGTCTTCACGTAAATACCCCACAATGGGATATTTCACTAGGTGGCATCAGCTTTAGAATTTAATCTTATTTTTAACCTGTGAGTTCTGAATTTCGGGGCAATTTTAGCCGTCTGGCAGATCCTAACTTTAACCTGTTTTCACTGATCCTGTTCAATAATGCCCACATATTACATTTCATATAAATATAATTCTACATTACATGAAGTTTATAATATAAACATAAACTTAAATATAAACTTCATATAACTTAGAATAATAAGACCGTGTTTAAAGTCATGGTAGGACATAGACTTACTGGATCAGCAAGCAGGAGTGTGCAGTGGTGAGAAACACTATCATGATCAACTTGCAGCTTTTACAGTTTGTAACTTTATGGAATTCCCTGAAATCTTGAAATGCATTAAAAGTTAAACTCTACTTTGGAAGTTGGGAAAACCGATTCCTTCTCTCACTGTGAGATGTCCGTTTCGATGATTCCAACATCGCTTTTTCCCGGTGACGCTGGCAGGGTGGGGCCTTAGGACAGCGTAGAGCAACCTTGACCTCCTCGTGGTGCAGGTCGTCAGCTAAGAGCAGCGTCTGGACTACACTAACGTCACATTCCTGGTGATCCTAGGTCCGGCTATGTGAAAGGAGACGTGTGGGCGACTTGTGGGGCCCCGCTGATGGTGATCAGGTTCCTGGCAACAGAGGGGAAGGGGCTGGTTAAGGAGGTTGAGATCACCGTAAAGGCACATTTAAGAGGGAAGCTTCACTCGCCAGATAAGATAAAATGGGGGTGCAGAGAGGAACACAAATGCTAACACATGGCCTTCCTTTCCTGAAGTATTTTCGACAACACACACTCTAGAAGTTTCCCAAGTTCAGGACCTAAGGAGCAATCCAACTCAAAGAATCAATATTTGTTTCTATGAAGGCAAATTACTGCAAAGATGCACTGGTTTTTGGTTTTTGGTTTTGTTTTTGTGTGTGTGTGTGTCTCACCCAAAGACATTTTATCCATTGATTTTTAGAGAGAGTGGAAGGGAGGGAAGAAGTGGGGGGAGAGGGAGAGAGACAGAGACAGAGAAACATCNGTGGAAGGGAGGGAAGAAGTGGGGGGAGAGGGAGAGAGACAGAGACAGAGACAGAGACAGAGAAACATTAATGAGAGAAAGACTCATCGATTGGCTGCCTCCCGCACGCGCCCCAACCAGAGCCAGAGATCAAACCTGCAACCCAGGTACATGCCCTTGACCAGGAATCAAATCCGGGACCCTTCCGTGCTCAGGCCGACGCTCCAACCACTGAGCCACACCGGCCAGGGCAAAGGTGCACTGTTTTGACTTTCAATTTTCCTATGGAAATGCTAGCTTTTGTATGAAAATATAAAATATTTCTAACCTTCATAACACACATTCCCTCTAAAGGACAGAGGTAAAATTGAAGTACTGACCTCACGTAGATCACCCACCAGGCTCCTACCAGGGAGCCTCTGGCATTCTCGCTCTGAAGTGTAACCCCAAGCAACCCACTCACTCCCCCAGAAGGGCCGAGGCCTGCCTGAGAGCATCGCCCCGTTGAACCAGGCGCTGCAGGCCCTCCTGCCAGTCCTGACATGCCAGCGCCGGTTCCAGGGCACCGTGGCCGCGCCTCGCATCGTAAATAATGTAACTGGGCCCCATGAATGATTTACGCGGCAGTGGAATGGCAGCAAGTCTCGAGGACAGAATCACCCCGGCTCCTGGCCTCAATTTATTGACTCCCGATCACACGGCACTGGGGGCGCGCGGGACTCCCTTGGCCACACGCTGAACGCGCCCGAGAGCCTGGCTGTCGTCTGCCCTGTCTTCACAGTCAGGCTGCGCAAGCGCGTTGCTGTTTTCTACACGTATCTAGAGTTTATTTATGTCGATCTCAATACAGAGAGACTAACAGGGAAGATCTGATCCAAGCTTCGAGTCATTCGTATGCTCATCCCCCAAAACTGACAGATGCAGCCGAGAAAGACCCAGAGTTGCCTAAAATAACCACAAAAATAAACCAACAGTGAATGGAGGCCTGGAAAGAAGAGAGGGGGGAGGAAAGGATTGTTTGTTTTAAACATCCATCAAGATGAAAAACGTTTCCAAACCCCGTGGCTTCGGATAAAAATAAAAGGTGCTTTACTTTCTCACCAACTGTAATTTTTTTAGTAAGACTTTCTAATTGTATTCATTAGTTTTGTCCTAATGCGCTTTGTGGGAGGTTTCACCTGAGTTTACTGTACGTCACAGAAACTCTTGTCTGGAATATAATGTCAGTGCTACAATTGTAGATTCGGTCAGAATAGAGATAATCAGGGTAGAAAATTGTCATGTTTTGGTATGAGTCCATTTTGAAAATCAGTCTTTCTTTCCTTCTGAACCTTCCTACAATTTAATGCATGATTTGGGGTCTCAACAGCCTGAAATCCTATTTTTTTCATACATGCTGAACACAGTGGGCCTTAGGACCCATCTAAAACATACGAGGTTTGGCCCGGCCGGCATGGCTCAGGGCCTGAGCATTGACCTAGGATCCAGGAGATCACGGTTCGATTCCCGGTCAGGGCACATGCTCAGATTACCGGCTCGATCCCCAGTCAGGGGCATGCAGGAGAGAGCTGATCAATGACTCTCATCACTGATGTTTCCATCTCTCTCTCTTCCTTCTTCTCTCTGAAATCAATAAAGACATATAAAAAAAAACCCGAGGTTTGAAAAGTGTGCCCAGCTCCGTGGACTGTGTCAAGACCTTTCCTTTTGTCATTTGTCACAGCACCCCACGGGCACCACAATTTCTTCCTGAGCTGGGCGTCAAGCACAGGGCTGTGGGCTCGTGAGATCCAAGTCATTCCAAATGCACAGTTGTAAGAAAACCCCAGATCTACGAGATGGCTTTTCCCTGGAAACAATGCTATACACATCTGTCATGTTTTCACGCTGGGCCACAAAATATTTTCCTTCAGGCAGATCACCTGCGGGGCTCATGGTAAAAATGCCCATTCTTTGACCCAATTTCCCAGAGAGTCCGGCTCAGAAAGTCCAGGAGAGGCCCAAGAGTTTGCACGTAAACAAGCCCCCACACAGTCTCCCTGCACCGAGACCACTGCCACATCAGCAGGACCCCCTGCTCGGAGACCACCACCGCACCAGCGGGACTCCCGGTGACCGTGTCCTGGGCATTAGGCACACCTCCCCGTGCAGGAAGCGTCCTTTGGGATCCCTATTTCTGCTGCTTGGTGGCGGGGGCAATGACTGCTCCCTCTGATGAACAATGGCACGTCCACGGGAGACCCCGCCGGGAAGGGAGCTGAGAGGTGAGGTGAGCAAGGGACAGACCTCCACGCAGCCAGCAGGTCCCTCTTCCCACGGTACAGGACTCGATGGGCCTGACCCACACCAGCCACTGACCCCTATAACTTCAGACCACGGTGTCTGCCTTCAGACTTCCAACACTACTGACACTGTCCCCAGTGACCACTGTCCCAGAGACAGGCCCTCACCCTTCTGAAGTTTTCCAAGGACTGTCAGCACTGAGAACAGCAAGAGCTAACTAGGGATCCCGAAGCAAGAGGCTCCCCCCAATCCCATCTTGATCGCCCCCGTGGCAGCCTGGGCCTCCAGTGTTCTGGACCTTCCTCTAAACGATGTTGGAGGAGCAGACCCTATGGGAGGCTGGTGCGGGGCAAATGGGTTTCCTCGCCTCCCAGCTGCACTAAAACCCCAGCCTCCTGTTCCAGAAGCTGTTGAGGGCAGGATGTAACTAAAACCATGCTTGGGGGTGCATGCTGAGGCCGCATGGTGGAGGCTCCCGACAGCCTGGAGGGGGGGATGCAGGCGTGGGGATGCTGGGGGAGACGGGAAGGTGCGGCGCTGAGGGCAACG